TACACTAAGTATAAATACTGTTCCATTACCAGGGGCCCCATAGACTGTCCAGTCCTTGTAACTGACACCCACGTGCAGGGGGCCTGGTTCCATCCTATGTTGGTTTCCAAGCTGTCAATCTGAGGTCCATGAGCTCCTCCTTGTTCAGGTCAGCTGTTTCTGTGGGTTTTCCAAGTGTGGTCTTGACACTTTAGCTCATCACTCTTCCCTCTCTACAACTGGATTCCAGGAATTCGGCTCAGAGCTTGCCTGTGGGTCTCTGCTTTTGTTTCCATCAGCTACTGGATGAAGGCTCTATGATGGACTATAAGGTAGTCATCATTCTCATTATAGGGGAAGGGCATTTAAGATAGCCTCTCCTGTATTGCTTAGATTCTTTGTTGGGGTCATCCCAGCATATCACTGGACATTTCCCTAGTGCCAGATTTCTCTTTAAACTTAAAGGCATCTCTTTTCTTGCTCTCCTCTATTCTTCCCCCAACTCAATCTTACTGATCCCTCATGTCTTCCTCCTCCCTTCTCTTCTCTCCTTCTCTTTCTCTTAACTCACCCCCCCCATGTTCCCAATTTGCTCAGGAGATATTATCCCTTTCTCTCTTTCCAGGAGACCATGTATGTCTCTCGTAGGGTCTTCCTTGTTTCTTAGCTTCTCTGGAGGTGTGGATTGTAGACTGGTAATTCTTTGTTCTATGTCTAAAATCCGTATATGAATGAGTACATACCACATTTGTCTTTTTGTGACTGGATTATGCCACTAAGGATAGTTTTTTCTAGTTCCATCCTGAAAATTTCAAGATTCCATTAATTTTTTTTAATACTCCATTGTGTAAATATACCACATTTCCTTTATCCATTCTTTAGTTGAGGGGTATCTAGATTGCCTCCAGATTCTGGCTATTAAAAATACTGTTGCTATGAACATAGGTGAACAGATGTCCTTATTGTATGAATGTGCATCTTTTGGGTATATGCCTAGGAGTGGAATTGCTGGGTCTTGAGGTAGACTGATTCCCAATTTCCTGAGGAATCACCGTACTGATCCAAAGTGGCTGTACAACTTTGCACTCCCACCAGCAGTGGAGGAGTGTTCCCCAAAGAGCCGGAAAGCTCATTTGGTAGAGCATCAGACATTTAAACTCAACATTTCACTTCTAATGTTCTTTTCTAATAAAATATGTTCAGACTCACATTGTTTTTTTTTCTTTTGCCTATAATAGGTACTTTTTTCTTATTGTATGAATAGGCTGCTATCTTTACATCCCATTGAGTCACTATATTTACTACTTTTTGTTATGAGTAGTTTTCCCCCAGCCTGGTCCCATAGCCACAGCAGCCCCAAACAACACACAGAGATGCTGTATTAGATACAAAGCTGTTGGCTAATAACAGTATTAGCATTACTTATTGGCTAGCTCTGTCTTAAATATTAACCCATTTCTATTAATCTAAGTATTTCCACATGGTCTTATCTTACCAGAGGAAGGATCCGGACCTCTATTCTCTTGGTCCTACATGTTGACCCTCTTCCTCTATGTCTCCCTTAATCTTCCTTGTCTCCCAGTCCCACCTATCTTGCTCTCATATTGGCCAACAGTGCTTTATTCATATGAGAAACATATTCACAGAATGACATCTCCCATCAGTTTTAAACAGCACTGAAGGGAATTGCAGTGATCATGGTGTTTCTTCATAGCAACAGAACACTGACTAAGAAAACTGGCAAACAGGAAGATGTGTCCATTGATATACTAATTTATGAGGGCTACTCATTTCTCTCTTGATTAGGTTCACAGCCTGCTCTGCAGGACAGAATTCATTTTTGGTACTGTAATCATATCCAAAAGCCATGACCAGGAAGTCATAGGCACAAGACAGAGCCTATTGATGTTGTTTTGCTAAGTGTTCAGGTTATCAAATGCCTTCTAAATATTAATATTTCTAATCATAGATTTTTTTTGCTGCTTCCAGATTCAGTTAGAGAGGCTTCTTATTACATACAATGCGTAAATGTAGAGACATTCAAAGTGCTGAATATGTGGCTTGATGTGGTCAACTACCGTTGGGAGTCCTGTATCAATCCTACTCCCTCCAAGACTCAGGAACATTGTGGGAAGGGGGTAGAAAGAATGTAAGAACAGTAGATGGGGGAACACTGTGAAACACTGTCCTCTGGATGTGGCATGACAGTTGTGTACATGGACTCATGGATTTGCAGCAGCTGGGACTACTTGCACATAACTTGTGGAGGAGCTATTGGAAGCTGATGATACCTGAGGAGAGTGGCTGTTCTTTGTGGGGACATGGCCACCACACACCCATGCACATGGGCAGTACCAGTTGGACTCAGTGAGTTATTTTTTAAAAAGTCCTAAGATGGGAGAGATATGTATTGAAAGGTCCTGATGGGAACTGGAAGGAGGAGTGAGGGTTTTATAAAAGCAAGCAAAATATATTTACACGGTATGAAAATTTCAAATAACTAAATAGAATTTTAAATGGAAAAAGTGCTTGTGTATACCATCTTTTGATATTTTTTTGTTAATATCTGTGAGTGTAATTATAGAAATCTGCCAACAACTCTCAGGGAGGTTGTACAACTTTGTACTTTATCACTAATGTATAACTAGCTATTCACAACATAATTTAACATAAGCAGAAAATACATTGGAAATGGTTCATTGATTAAACTAGCTTCATTAATTCACTTTGTCAATCACACTCTTGTACTACCACACTGGTAAGTTTGTATATCATCACATATTTGTGCAAATGAAAACTTCTCCACATCTCTGCCAGGCACAGCCCAGCAGCAGGGTTTTGCTGCTCCAGGCACCAGCAGCCCATGCCTAACCCTGCAGCTAAGGCTCCAGAAAGGATTTCAAGTGGGAGAGAAATAAGCTTCAGGAAATTCTGCCTGTCATCTAGGTCTATCTGGGAAGAGCACTTCATGGGTCTACTTCCCAATATGGCCACCATCCATTTCATTACCCAGTGCTTTGGGAATGTTAAGAAGGATTTTAGAAAGAGGCAATGACTGTTTTCAGACAAGAGTTGTTTTATTTATTTATAATTCAAATTTACAGATTACTGATCCCCTTGAGTATAGCCTTGTTTCACTAGATTCAAGTTAGAATGTGTGGAAGAAAGAAACAAAATTAAACAGGGTTTTGATACTCTAAATTTTGTCTTTTGATGGCATTCAGTGACAGTCAGCTTTAGTCACTGTAACACCATACCTCTAAACTGTAACATCAACCTCTAAAAGAGCAAGCTTACTTTGGTTCCCATTTAAGACACTTTGGTCTATGATAGATTAGTGTTATTGCTTTTGGATCTTGGGTAAGACTGTGTAATGTCAGGGACACAGGCTAGGAAACCTGCTTACCTCTGCCAGGGAGCAGAGGAAGAGGCTGGTAGGCTTGTAGGCTGGTGTCTGGCAATCTTCCTCTACCCTCTCTCTGTATGTTGTGGCCATGCCTATCTGTGTGTGCACATACAGAGGCCTGAGGTCAATACTAAATATTTCCCACAATCTCTTTCACCTTGTTTTTGAGTCAGAGTTTCTCAGTGAACCTGAACTTACCATTTCAGCTACCCCAGCTGTCCAGCAAGCCTTTAGGATCTGCCTGTCTCTACCCTCACCTCCACTGTAGCGGTTATAGGCATGTATCACCATGCTCAGCTTTTACATGAATGATGGAGATCTGGATTCAGGTCTTAACACTTGTACAGCAAAGCACTTTATGCCCTGAACCATCTTCCTGGCCCATCCTGACACCTTTGCTTCCAGAACCTTAAGATACATTGTTATGCCATACTGTTTGTCATTGTGCAGAATGTTCTTACTGTAAGTCACAATGTTGGTAAAGACAAGAGGGACTCTTTGATATTAGAAAAAATTCTAAATTCACTAGGAAATTATTAAAGTTGTAAGCATATATGCAACTAACAACAAACCCAAAGACATATGAAGCCAAAGTTAATCTAATGGTGGAAAGAGATAGTCAGTTTGCCTTCAGTAACAATGTAACAGAATAACAAGGAAACATGGGATAAGCAACAACACAAGGCTTATGACAGACCCATGTAGCCACTGAACACATTTCTTTTTTTCCTTATTTATTTATTCTTATTTTACATATCTATCCCAGTTCCCTCTCCCTCCCTTTCTCTCTCCCTCCCTCCCATTCCCCCCTCTCCCATCCCATCCTCCCCCATTCCATAGGGAGTGTGGTGCCTTCCAGGAGGGGGCAACAAAATCTGCCAAGTCATTTGGGGCAGGGACTAGGCCTTCCCTCCTGCCTCTAGGTTAAGGGAGTATCCCTCCATGGGGAATGTGCTCCCAAAGGCCTTTTGCGCTCCAGGGATCACTGAGCATATTGCTAAAGCATGCTCAGTGCATGCTCTAGGATAGATCAGCTTCTAGACACACAACAGCTTAAGAGCTTAACCTGAATTGAATATGTGTGTTCAGTGTTCAGCCTTAACGATTTGTCACATGTGAGAATTTTACGACGTTTTACTTGTCCTTCTGCACTGGTAGGTCTGGCTACACATGTAAGATTGACCCTTACCCATGGGGACACTTCTGTGAGACAGACCTGAACATGTTTGGGACTCCCAACTGAGGTGACCTGATTTCTTTGCTTTTCAATCAGCTTGCCTCCTGGTGAGCCAAGACATTGCAATTGAATATTTATTTCACTCCAGTCCACTGCTCATTCCAAGTTAAAAATCTGTAGTGCTCAAGCAGAAAAAATTCCAAGAGGGAAAATAAAACCCAAGGGGCAAATAAATAAATAAATAAATAAATAAATAAACAAATTAAAAAATAAATAAATAAATAAAATCTGTGCCTAAAAGTGGCCATAGGAAAGGAATATTAAATTATGTACAAGCTAGCATGTGACTCCCTAATGTCTTGTGACTTGGAAAGGCCACACCCACCCAGCTGAAGGCTTGTGTACTGGCTGCAGGTGCCTGGTAAGTATGGTGTTAGCACAACACAGAAATAAGTGCCCAAGTCTGTGGTCTGGGAGGAGGAAATGTACAAAGAGCTGTGATATGCCTTAGCGACTGTCGTGGATGTCAGTCTTCCACTCAGCTTTGTCCCAGAAGGATTGAAAAACAGGCTGATGAGGTGTCCCCCAGGACTTTGGAGAAACCACTGCGCTTGGGTTGCAGAGGTGGAAAATTTGCACAGCATGTCTGCACTCTCTCCCTCCTGCAGAACCAAGGACTCAGGACTCTGCTCCACTTGTTGCCCTTTCACCCCTGAGTAGAAACAGAGAAACAGACACAGCTGGAGGTCTCTGAGCATCCACAGAACCCTGAACACACCCCAAGTCCTCTGAGAAGGAGGCAGCTGTGCAGGACTCCTGAGCTGCTTCCCCACCCTCCATGTGCCCAGCACAGTCCTCTCTGTCCCTGAGTGTGGACAGCCAGACTCACAGCAAACCTGGGAGCACAGCAGCCCCAGCAGAGAGCATAGCAGCCTCTTCATGGTGCTGTGTGGATGCTGGAGACAGAAGCAGTAACCAAGCCCTGGGCTGTGGTGTCAGGATGGCTGTGAATGTCCCTCCTCCTGCACCAGGCAGCTCCACCCAGGAACCCTGTCAGGCCAGACACTGCAGAGTTATTATTTTAAGGAAGGAGCTTGCTGAGGATGGAAGGCTGATCAGCACTAAGAAGTGGGACATCTACTTGTGATATTCTCAGCAGAGTGAGCACAACTAACAATAAGCACTGCAAATTTCAAATGTTGGAAGAAAACACCTTAAACTTTCAACCTTGAAAACATGAGGACATAGTTATGTTGAACTAAATTTAAACATTAAAAAAGTGGATTGAAATATCACATGCTACCTTTCTCATATGCATGAGTTCATGTTTTTACAAGAATATACATAAAGCTTGGCCCATGGTATATACTGTGGTCCTTCATTCAGGAAGCATAAGATGGAGGAGGGCCTGAGATCCCAGGGCAGCCTAGCTACATCCCTAACATTTGTAAATAGTATTTCTCATGTGTATGATAAAAGTAATTATAAATTGATTATAATTTGCAAAGGGGAAAAGTGGGGCCAATTCAGATACAATTTCTTCATAGTACCTTAGGTGGGCAATGCGTTTTGTGTTCCTGACTTGTAGACTGTAAAAACTTCCTGAGGTCCATATTTTCAATTCAGCATTCTTCTTTGCTGTTATTCCCCTTCTAAAGACATAGAATCCCGCCCGACCTTTACCAGAACAAAATCAATTAGAAGGCAAGGAGAGTGTACAGGAGAGGGAATAGCCCAGGCAGGATTTGAAGTCCCTTTATGTATTTTATTTTTCTACAAATGCACACTTTTTAAAGCTTAAACTATTTATTTACTGTATGTGTGTGCATACTATATGTGTATTACTTAAGTATATGTATGCGTACCATATTCATGTGGCATAGAGGTCAGAAGAGGGCATCAGATGCCCTGGAACTGGCATTATATACAGTTGTGAGCTGCCATATGTGTCCACTGCCAAGAGCAGCCCTGAATAAATACCTTTAATTTAGTGAGGTGAAACAACCTTTTTGATCTTTACCTATGAACTTAGAAACGTGAGTTCTGGAGGATGATCTAATCCAATTTATCCATTATTGTTAAGTGCATCCTAGACCTGGAGGAAAACAAAAGGAATTCAACACCATTTCCCTCTTTCAGAGAGCTAATGACAGTGAGTATGGGGGAGAGTAATTTTTGTGTAAATTCAAAGAAGTTTTACAAAATGTTGTAATAATGCATGCCACAAACACTACATGGGCACCAAGACAGAGGTTACTTCAAGTTTCATTCACAGGACATAAATATAATTCAGTCATTAGTGGGCAACATAATTCTGGTGATTTTCATGAAAATGACAAGGATACAGAAACAAAAGCAATATACAGACAGTACTAGTCTTAGGTCTTGTAAGAGAGCTGCAGGGACACACACACACACACACACACACACACACACACACACACACACACACACACACACACACCTATTCTACAGTTACCCCTCAGGTTCAAAGACAATGCTCCTATATATACTGAGATACTAACCAGGTGCTGCGTTTGGACATAAGGGGTCTTTGCAGTTTATTCTGGTATCTTTGTGTTTTTATTGCTGTAATAAATACCGTGACCAAACTGCCAGCACACCTGGAAACTCCAATTTTTAATTAATATTAGAATGAACTTTAGGGAAGAATAAGAAAACATAACTATGTGGCTCAAGCTTTCCTTTCTGATGGCATGGGTACTGTAGTTTCTTATATCCATTTTCCAGTGGCCCAGGCTTTTTTTCTCAGATGGCATGGGTACTGTAGATTCTTGTTTGCACTTTCCTGTGGTCCTAACTTTTTCTCAGATGACATGGGTGCTATAGACTCTTGAATACATTTTCCTGTGGCCCCAGCTTTCCTGACTGATGGCATAGGTGCTGCAGATTCTTGTATCCATTTCCCAGTGTCTCTGAAGAGCTCACTTCTTGCTTGTCTTCTGCACCTATTTATAGCACAGAAAAGTGGTCACAAATCAGGACTGCATGCACAACAGTTGCTTAAGATTGATTTTATACATTGTGACTAACCTGCATAAAGAGTGATGCCATAGGGCATGACAGTGTATACTTAAAATTCCAAAACTTGGGAGGCTGGGAAAAAGGAGGGCAGCAAGTTAAGGCCAATCCAGGCTATACTGGCACTCAAGATTGTCCTGGACTTCATATGAAGACTCTATTTCAAAAAAAAATGTTGGACTGATTATATATTTCAGTGACCTAGAATTGAGTGTTTTGAACACGAACTTTTCATTTTCATTAAATTTCATGGAAAGCACTAATGCTTTGGATTTTGCAATTTTTCTTTGGACTTTAATAGGCAATATCAAATATTCTGACTGAAACCAAAATTCTGACTTGGGAAGTTTACATGAAAATAATTTTAGGGGTAGGACAGATGGCTCAATAAGATTTCTGGCTATGAAAGTAAGAGATCTGGCTCCAACTGCCTAGCACTTGTATAAAAGTTGGTCATGGACTCTCATGCCTGCAATCCCAGCACTGGGAACAGAGTCAGATGAGTCCCAGGAGATTGCTTTCCAACCTGCTTAGCCTAAGTGGCACACTTAGGTTCATTAAGAGACTCTTTCAAAAAAGTGTGGAGACATCCATGCAACAAGGATATATGTTTAATTATGTTCATAGAAGCATTATTTGAAATAGCAAGAACCTGGAAGCAACCTAGATGCCCCTCAACTGAAAAATGGATAAAAAAGATGTGGCACATTTACACAGTGGAATACTACTCAACAGAAAAAAACAAAACAAAACAAAACAAAACAAAAAAAAACCCCAAAACAATAGAACCTTGAAATTCGCAGGTTAATGAATGGAACTTGAAGAAACCATCCTAAGTGAGGTAACTCAGCCACAAAAAGAGGAGCATGGTATGTACTCACTCATATATGGATTTTAGACATAGAGCAAAGGCTCACCAGCCTATAAGTCACATCTCCAGAGAAACTAGGATATAAGGAAGAACCTAAGAAATTCATACAAGGTCCCTCCCAGAAGGGGAAAGGGAGAAGATCTCCTGAGCATATTGGGAGTGGGGGCAGTGAGTAGAGAGGGAGTTAGAAGGAAAAGAAGGGGAGGAGATGAGAACATGTGGGATCAGGAAGATTGAGTCAGAGGACAAATAGATGAGAGTAAAAAAGAGATACCATAATAGAGGGAGCCATTATAGGTTTGAAGAGAAAACTGACTCCAGAGAAATATCCAGAGACCTACAAGGATCACCCCAACTAACAATCTGAGCAACAGTGGAAAGGCTACCTTAAATGCCCTTCCCTGATAATGAGATTGATAACTAACTTATATGCCATCATAGAGCCCTCATTTAGTGGCTGATGGAAACAGAAGCTAACCCACAGCTAAACACAGAGCCAAACTCCTGGAATCCAGTTGCAGAGAGGGAGGAGTGATAAGAAAAGGGGTCAAGACCAGGCTACAGAAACCCACAGAAACAGCTGATCTGAACAAGTGGGGGCTCCCAGACTCCCAGACTGATAGCTGAGAAACCAGCATTGGACTGACCCAGACCCCCTGAACATGGGTCTCAGTTAGAAGGTCTTGGCCGTCTAAGGGACCTCTGACCAGGATGTATTCCTGCACAAAAGGACTTTGGGTGCACATTCCTCATGGAGGGATATCCACTTAACCTAGAGGAAGGAGGGAGGGCCTAAACCCTACTCCAAATGATTTGAGAGATTTTGATGATCCCTCCTGGAAGGCATCCCCCTTCCTGTGGAGTGGGGGTGGGTGGGATAGGAGAGGTGTTTGGGGGGCATGGGAGGGAGGGAGACAGAACTTGGATTGATATGTAAAATAAGTGTGTGGTGTGTGTGTGTGTGTGTGTGTGTGTAGATTGAGCAAGGAAGACACCTGCACATTTGACACTCACAAAGACTAGTTTATGTTCTTGCTGCAGTAGATGGAGTAGGAAGACAGAAGAATGGAAAATATAGCTCTTCCTTCTGTTTTTGTTGGAGTAGAAAAACCAAGTTAGCTGCAAAGACAGAAATCTATGTGAGCTGTCCAAACTGCTGTAAATGCTTGCAGTAGTCACTGTGGGAGAAGGTGTAGGGAAGTGAAGGCCAGTATGGAGCCATTGATTATTAATGGGTACTCAAATTAGCAAAATCCAACTTGAAGGGAGAAAGAAAAAGGGTCTGGGGACATAGATCAAAGATAAGCCTCTGGAGTCAATCCTCAGCATCCTCTAAATGGTGAAGTGAGAAGGAGAAGTGACCAGTGACCTCCCCTCTCTCTCCTTCCAAGATTCAAAATGCCTGCCAATTTTTTAATCCACTCCCTACTAGTATCTCTCTGTATGTCTTAGGTCCTCCAAAGCCTCTATGGCTAATTCTGGTCAGGTAGTAGCTAACTCTGGCCTCTGATTCAAGGTTAACTTTATTGGCAATCTCAGGAGTGCCAAAGTTGTGATCGCACAACAGAGATAGTTTATCATTTATCCTGGACTCCTTTAATTGCTGAGGGGTAAAATTAATAATGTAAAGCAAATCTCTCATTTGCCTAAAAATAACTCACAACCAACTTCATGACAACTGGCCAATCACTGTCCTAAATGATTAACTCTCTCTCTCTCTTTCTGTCTCTCTCTCTCTCTCTCTCTCTCTCTCGTGTGTGTGTGTGTGTGTGTGTGTGTGTGTGTGTGTGTGTGAGCATGTGTCCATACACTCACCTGTAGCACAGGTGCAGATGTAGAATCTAGAGGTTGACCAGGGTGTCTCCCTCTATCATGTTCCTTATTTTGAGACTGAGTCTCTGAACTTGGAGCTTGCAGTTTTGGGCTAACCCTATCAGTGAGCTCCAGTGATGCTGTGTCTCATCTCTGCTTGGGTTACAGGTGCTAAGGTGCCTGGCTTTTTAGATGTGTGCTGGGAAATCTGAACTC